TTTTCTTCATACCAAACACAGTCTTAGGGTCTGTTGGAAAGCCACTTGGTAATTGGAATTGGTGTAATTACTAGGATAGTAATTATCAGCCTAGTAGTTACACTGTCTAGTAATTAAACTGACTTGTTTGGTTGTCACGATGTAATTACATTATAATTACACATGTCATGTTTGGATGTCACATGTAATTTCACGTGTTCTCTTTGGATGCACCATTGCAAACACAAAATTAAAATAATTTTAAAAATGAAATTAATTATTTAAAATTTATACTAAGCAAATAAGAAACTTTATAAATGACAGTAAATAAAATGTTTAAGACATATGTTCATTTTTAAAAATATATTGATTAATAAACAAATTTTCTATAACTAATACTATGAAAAAATAATTGATTTATATTTTTTCAAATTAATATATTTCAATTGAATTGATTGTAACAACTAAAAGTATGAAGTTTATACGAATATCGTAAAATACATGTTTGATAAAAACACTACTGAAAAATAGGCCTGTGGCAACATGGAGAAAACCATTGCTATAGATATACAAACCGTTGCCATATATCTAGCCCAATGGGTTTTCAAGTGTTACATCAGCTCGCGTGGTCATAGAGCTATGACAACGGTTAATGCAACGACTGAAACGTCGCATCGTCATAGACACTTCTATAGCAACGGTTATGCCGTCCTTCTCATGCATCGAAATAGTTGGTATATGCAACATTTTATAAGCGTTGTCGTAGAGATCATATTGCAACACTTATTTTATTTATAGCAACAGTTATTTTTATAAAAAGTAAACGGATTTCCAGTTCTAATGCAACGACTGTTAAACCTATTGCAACGATTTCCTATTCTATTATAAGCTTTGTTGTAGAGTACATATTGCAACACTTATATTATTTATAGCAACATTTATTTTTATAAAAAAAATTAACGTTTTTCAGTTCTATTACAATGATTGCCTATTCTATTGTGATTACTTATTTTATATATTCAACGTACGTACGGTTCTAATTGATTAACAACATATTGCAATATATATATGATCAACATGAAATAGAAATCTTAGTTGTAAGACACTAGCAAATATATATATATAATAAATTATAATACAATATATATACATATATAATTGGTAATCCTTCCAAAAAGTTTTATAAACATCACAATTCAAAAGATCTAACAAAGAGATCATAATATATCCCTAAAAGCAAAACATATGCTCAAACCCAAATGATTCGTTAGGTATTTCATCAATACTAACGAGTTACGACATAAGTTTTAAATGTTTGACAGAACAACGAATATTATAACTATCTGTTGAATGTCTTGAATCGGACCCGTTACAAACAGAAAGGACGGGGGTCTCGCTGCCCGGTCAGCGAGTCGGGGGTCCAAGCCTGTTAGGGCGTAGCTTAACACTATATATATATATATAGACGCTATGGCAAACCCTATTTTTTTGTAATTCTGTTTTTGCCTCTCCATAATAAAACTGCTCCCTCTCTTCCCGTGGACGTAGCCAATTTATTGGTGAACCACGTAAATCTGTTGTCTTGTTTTTCGCGTTTATATATTTTCTCGTATTATCTCAAATTCCGCACAACACTATCTAATATCAGAAATTCAAAAATCTTCTCAAGCAAGGTCAAGTAGATCATCTTCATTGCTATGATCTTCTCTCCTTTCTTCATTTTCGATACCTACAAAAAAGAATTTGCATAAAGTTATATTGGTTTGATAATAAGTGATTAAACGAGAGTTTAAAGAACTTTCTTCCGAAACGCGAGGAATCTTCCCCTTTCTCCATAGTTTTTCATCCAAAACCATGCTTCTGTAGCACGAGGGAATTGTCCAAAACTTAATTCAAAAAAGAAGCATTGAACATAATTCTAACAGACTTATCTATCAATTACTTAAGCATTGCAGATAATTTCGAAAAGAAAGCATTCAACAAACTTTTTCATCCAAAACCATGCTACTCAGTAAATGAACTTACTCTTTTAAGAGACAATATAAACTAGGATAAAATGGTAGAAGGAACAAGTTAAATGTCATAGCCTATATATCCAAACATCTAGTTATGCCAAAATGTTGCAAATGTCACTATAAATGATTCTATCATGGAGCAGCATAGAGGGTAAGTCTTGTGGAGGTGTACGTACTGATTAAATTGAAGTTCGGAGCCTAAAGGTACAAAATATTAACAAAAATTTTAAAACGGTATATAAAATTTTATATTAACCAAAACGGCAAAATCGCTGCATCAATAGCGATTTACTCCACCGGAAAAAGCAAAATCGCTGCAGAAGCAGCGATTTTGCAAAATGTGAATTTTTTTTAAAAAAAATTAAATCGCTACCTAGGCAGTGATTTTAAATTATTTTTTTTAAATCACTGCCTAGGCAGCGATTTATAATTTTTAAATTTTTTTTTTAAAAAATAAGGAAAATCAATACCTAGGCAGCGATTTTTTTAAAAAAGAAAAGTGAAATGTGGAAGTCGCTGCCCAGGAAACGACATTTATAATTTTTTTTTAAGATTTTTTTTTTAAAAAAATTATAAAATTTATAAATTGCTGCCTAGGCAGCGGTTTTTTTAAAAAAAATTTATAAATTTTTTAAATCGCTGCCTACGCAGCGATTTATAAATTTATTTATTTTTAAATATGTAAATCGCTCAACGAATTTATTATATTTTTTTTAAATATGGAATTCGCTGCAATTTTCCAAAAATAATTTTTAAAAAAATAAAATTTAAAAGCAGCGATTTTATAAAAAAATATTATTAAATTTTTTATTTTATAAATTGCTGCTTTAAATTTATTTATTTTTTAAAAAAATTCCATATTGTTTCTATATTTTTTAAAGAAAAATATTTAAAAATTTTAATTTTTTTTATAAAAGTCGCTGCCTGGGCAGCGACTTGCACATTTCAATTTTTTTTTTATAAAAGTCGCTGCCTTGGCAACGACTTCCAAATTCAAACAAAAAATACATATATATTTTTAAAAAATCGCTGCCTAGCAGCTACTTTTTTTTAAAAAAAAATCGCTGTCTAGATAGCAATTTCATTTTTTTAAAAAAATTCACATTTTGCAAAATCGCTGCATCTGCAGCGATTTTGCTTTTTCTCCGAAAGTAAATTGCTGTTGATGTAGCTATTTTGCTATTTTGATTAATATAAAATTTTATATACTATTTTAAAATTTTTATTAATATTTTATACCTTTAGGTTCCGTACTCTGATTTAACTCAATTATTTGTGTTTATGATTTGTTAACTTTCATAATGAATTCATGGCAAGTCATTGGAAGTACCAATGTAAAATGATTGACCCATTAAAAAATTATATTATAAAGTCTTTTCAAAAGCTACTTTTTTGTAACAATATTAGTGGACGTAACGTCACCCCCATGAGGTTCCTATATGGGTTACATGGCCCTTAACAATTAATAAAATTATAAATAAAAAAAAAGGAAAAGGGTCTGATATACCCCTTAACTTTCTCATTTAGAGCTTATATATTCCTCGTTATAAAAGTGACTCATATATGTCCTTACCGTTATACAAATAGCTCACATATACCCTTTCCTCTAACGGAATGAAAAAAAATAATTTTAATCTAAATTTTTATTATTTTTTTCTAAAAAATATAATATCATATGAATTAATTTAGACCTCGTCAAACATATTTTTTTTGATCCTTTTTTGTTTCAATGACTAATTTATAATTATTATTTTGATAATCAAATTTATTTATATTTCACTAATATTCTTGTAAAACGTATTGCAGATAGCCAAATTTTTTCTTCGAATACGAAATTAAATTATAATACACACAAAAAAAATAGTTTAAATTTTTTTCTTTAAACTAAGGAATGAAAGAAAAAAATAAAATAAGAATAAGTAACTCAAATAATTATAATAAAAGAAGTCGAAAAATAATTTATGTATGAAAAAAAATAAATATACCTTGAACTTTGATAGAAGAATCATATATACCCCAAAATAATTTTTAAAAAAAATTACAAGTAATAAATATAAATTTAAAACTAATTTTTTAACTTTCGTTAAATGAAGGGGATATGTGAGTCATTTGTATAACGGTAAGGGCATATATGAGCCACTTTTATAACGAGGGGTATATCAGCTCTAAATGAGAAAGTTGAGGGGTATATCAGACCCTTTTCCCATAAAAAAATTATATATTTGAATGATAAAAAATATTATTCCTTTTGAGTTATCTAAATCCAATTTTAACACTAATGAACTAATAATACAAGAATCTCAATTTGTAAATATATGAGGTAGGGTTACTGAACGATCCTTATTATCTTAATTTCCGTCTTTATTCCCTTATTCAGGAGAGATAGAAGCATGTTATGAATCGATTCAAAAGCAAGACTTTTTTGAGAAAACGTGAATGGTCAATCAAAATTTCATTAGAAAAAAATAACTAAAATAAGTTTGTTTTTTTCCGAAAGAGTCGTCATCATATAAAAAGATTAAAAAACTATTCAAGAAAATCTCAAACCTCGTTCTTTAACATTTTTAATTTCTTAATTTATTTTATCTACCATAATCTAACTATGATTTCAAAGGTAAAATATTGATTTCAAAATCTAAAATATTACTAGACTTTTTAATATAGTTCAAATAACAAAATATTTAGAATGGAATTTTATTCAATTTTAAAATACTATATATTATTAGTTCAATTCCATATCTATTTAACGTAGAAGACGCCTAATAAAAAATATCACGGAAATTGAGACTTAAAATATATATGCAATTGATATGTATGTATCATTTACTCGGTTTGTTGGACCCCTCTCTACATAACACTCTAAAAGTGAGAAAAAAAATAAAATTATACTTTGAATCTTGTCATTTTGGCTTGACCACTTGACTTGAATATTTAACAAATAAATTAAATACTATAGTATAGTATTTTTTTTGCAACTCTATATATAGGGAATGTCCCTCAAAGTTAAGTATTCAAATAATTCATTTAAGAACTATATATTAAAATAGAGCAAAGAATAATATTATACTTTAGCCAAATTTAGCATGGAGATAAATGAGGATATTGTCATAGTTGGTGCTGGAATTGGTGGACTTGCCACTTCTTTGGGACTTCACAGGTATATAAAAAAAAAGAATCATACTAAACTTCTCATATCGAAATATCGTATAATATTTAAGATCGCAAAATTCTAATGGTATAACAAGGGTGCAGAAACTATAGTATAAAATCTTTCTTGAATTATACGACATTAAATAAAAGGGAGCAACTATTTTTGTGCGTTAGGGCATTGCTTGAACGTTTTCTAAATAAAAATTTAAGATATATGTATAATGATTTAACATGTTATAACAGATTAATTTATTATCAGTAGAGATTATCAATCGATGATGCCTGTTGAGTATAATTATCTTTTAAGTGATCTGATCGTGTGAATCGATAATTTAGGTTGGGAGTAAGGAGCATAGTGTTGGAATCATCTGATTCTTTGAGAACATCAGGATTTGCACTTGCTTTATGGACCAATGCTTGGAGGGCATTGGATGCTCTTGGTGTTGGAGACTCCCTTAGACAAAGGTCTCTCCACTTTACTAGGTAAGTTTATCGATATCTGTTTTGAGATTCGATTAATTTAAATTTCTGTCAAAAAAATTTATTTACTTTTAATATTTGATATTCGTTTTGGAATTCGATAAATTTAAATTTGTGTCGAGAAAAATCCCACTTTAAGGGTGAAGATTTTCTATCAAAGGCGATTCCATAATGTTCTGATGCGTTTATCATTCTAAAACAATTTTTAGTGATGACCGATAAATTGGGAATTTGGTAAATAAAGGTGTACCTTAACTATGAATGTAAACTTTTAGATGAGATTATCATAAACTTTAATACGTTAAAGCAGATAGTAGTTATAAAATATGGACTCAAAAATTATTTCGTAGAATGATTTTTCACGTATTTAACTCAAGAAAAAAAAACAAGAAGCAAGTCTGCCCCCACATAAGGGGACAAATTAAATACAAAATATTTTAACTAATAGAAATAATCTATCTCGTAGAATTCAGACATTTAAATGATATGATCATATACTTTAACAAAATATATTTTTACTATTATGAAATTCGTATTTTATCTTGCTGAAAATTAACGAACTTTTTTCTCGTATAGATTTCAAGCATTTTCAGCTAATTCAGGCTTGCCTACTGCTGAAATTTCCCTTGAGGCAGATAACAAACCGTAAGCTACCTTCTATCCATCTACGTTTCGATACATTTTTCTTTTTAATCGGTATAAAAATACTTTAATTTTATACATTATAATTACATAAATATTTTATATATATATATATATACGCTAAAATTCTTAAATTTCGAATAATTTAAAATCACTTAAATACTATAACATGTTTTCAACTATGAATTTCAAGAATTATATATTGATTCAAATTATGTCACGTAAAATCTCGAACTATAATATAGTAACTAATATAATTTTTTTTTTGGTTATACATTTTTATAATGTTACAGAATTGATTATGACAGCCGTTGTATAAAAAGACAAGAGATAGTGGAAACTTTAGAAAAAGAATTACCTCAAGGAACTATTAAATATTCATGTCGTGTTATTTCCATTCAACAATCTGGACTATACAAATTGGTGCATCTTGCCAACAAAACTATTATTCGAACCAAGGTAAATATATATTGTTTTTTATATCGATAACGTAAATAATTTTTATACTATAGTATTATGATTTTCATATCAAATCTCATGTAGTACAGCAATAATAGCATATACAATCTAGTTCTACGTAGTAGGGTTTGGAAAAGAATAGAGTATTGTCTCAACCTTAGAAGTGAGGTAATGAGGTTGTTTTCGGTAGATTCCTGAGTGATTAAATCTCACGTTGTGATGATCGATATAAAAGAATTGTGATTACCGTGATTTAACATGTGATCGAAATTGCAGTTACGATACCAAACTGTATGGATGACCTTTTATCCCGCGCTATTTAATAGTGTATTTTAAAGGTATATATGTGTCCAATGCACGAGAGTAAAAGGTCATTTCCAAAGTTTAGTATTGTTACAATAATTTCGGTCAAAGTTCGAATATATTTTAGAATTTTTTTCCTTGCTACCATGTTCTAATAGGTTTAGTAACATATTTTCTAGATTAGTCATTTTTTTTAGTTGATTTGATGATAACTAATTATATTTTTCCACACAATCAATGTAAACAAGCTCAACTTTTTAAAATTTTTAAAATTACTTATGTGAATGTCTCATGCATGAAACCTTAACCTAAAGAAACTCAATGTACATAGGTAGAAAATCAGAGACAGAGTCAGAAGTTTTGTTACAGATTTGACATGATTCAATAGCTAATAGCCAAAACTTTGTTTTTGTCTTAAAATCCACGTTATCGAGGACTCACTAGTTAGGTTATACTTTTCAGTATTCAGAATTCATAAACTCGAAATTCTGATCGATCATTGAATTGTTAGGTGTTGATAGGATGTGATGGTGTGAATTCAATGGTGGCCAAGTGGATGGGCCTTCCAAAACCAATTGATGCAAATCGTTCAGCAATTAGAGGATATCTTGAGTATCCAAAAGCCCATGGATTTGAGCCCAAATTTTGTGCTTATTTTGGTGGTGGAGTTCGTATTGGTTTTCTTCCTTGTGATCACAAAAGTTTGTACTGGTTTTGCACTTTTACTCCATCTGATGTAGATTGTAAGTCTTCTTTTTCCTATATATATATCTCTACTATATCGGAGTATGTATCATCACGAATTCAATATATGTTCATCTATCTGTCTGATTTATGTGATACAGATGAAATTTGGAGCGTTAAAACATACGTATCATCACGAGTCCAATATATGTCAATCTTTCTATCTAATTTATCTGATACAAATGAAATTTGAAGAGTTAATCATTAGCACGTTATAATCATAGAAATGTTATGACATGTTCTTTCTGTCTCGTTTTACGTGTCACACACTCATATTTTATTTTTTTAGTTTGTTTTAATTTTCTATTTACCTTTAATAAAACCATATATTATGGCGATCACAAGTCCTTTTTTCCTCTTAAACTTCATGTTGGATCGTGTTAGATAAACTGAGACAGATTAAAAAATATTTAATACCGCAAGTGCCAAGGGTACTTTTGGTATAAGCCAAAAATCCTTTTTTTTCTTCAAATATTCCATTCTCAATTAAACATGAATATGTAGAGTATACCTCTTCTTTTTTTTCTTTTATATGAGTTTTACTAATTAATAATTTGCCTTTGAATTGCATGTACATCTCAAAGATGATGAAAAAATTGAAGGAAGTCCAACAAAAATGAAGCAATTTGTGTTGAGTTTGGCTAACAATGTTTCAAAAGAAGCCTACAATATCCTTGAAAGAACTTCACTAGATAGCCTATATTGTGCAAAATTAAAATTAAGAACCCCATGGAACATTTTAATAAAAGAAAATATTGTGAAAAACAACACTTGTTTAGTTGGTGATGCTCTTCATCCAATGACACCTGATATTGGTCAAGGTGGATGTTCAACATTAGAAGATAGTGTTGTTCTTGCAAGATGCATTTCAATGGCTATTTTTGCAAAAAATTTAGAAAATGATGATGATGTTCAATTATGCAAAAGAATTGAAGTTGGTTTAGAGAAATATGCAAAAGAGAGAAAATGGAGGATTTTTAATCTTATTACTACTTCATATTTGGTTGGTTTAGCACAAGAAAGTAATGGGAAAGTGATTAGTTACTTAAGGGAGAAATTCTTGGCTCAATTCACTATTGAGACTATGTTGAAAATGGGTGATTTTGATTGTGGGAAATTATTGTCATAATCTTGTATTTTGTTGAAGTGAAGATGTGGAGTACTTGTGATGATTTGCTTGTTGATTTTATGATCAATAAGAAATAATAATTCGGCGATTCTGTTACAGATGTTGTATCTGTTGTTGTTTTTAGTATCAAAAAGACTATTGTAAGAACTCAAATTGATTCAGTTATAGAAATAGCGTCAGAGACATCTGTTGTCATTTTAAGTATCAAAAAAACTATCGTAAGAACTTATCAAGATTGTATTATGAATTAAGTCCTATTATTTTTGTTAGCAAGTATTATTAGAATTAAGGTTGTGATTGTTGTCATTTGTATTTTGTTGAAGTGAAGATGTGGAGTACTTATGATGATTTGCTTGTTGATTTTATGATCAATGAAAAATAACAATTCGGTGATTCTGTTACAGACGTTATATCTGTTTTTGTTTTTAGTATCAAAGAGACTATTGTAAGAACTCGATTGATTTTGTTACAGAAATAGCGTCAGAAACATTTGTTGTCATTTTAAATATCAAAATGACTATCGTAAAAATTTATCAAGATTGTATTATGAATTAAGTCCTGTTATTTGGTTAGCAAGTATTATTAGATTTAAGGTTGTAATTGTTGTCATTTGTATTTTTTATCATACTAGTTTCTGACAACGTGCGTTGCACGTTTATTTTTTACTATTGTTATATAATTTAAGATTGTGCTATCAAATAGAAAATGTTTAAATTAACAATATTAATTTTACCAATTATATTTCATGCATCAACAAAAG